AGAAGCCAGGCTGTTTTCCAGGGACATTGCTCCTGTAAAGGGGCAAACAGATCAGGAGACAACTCAGATGTCTCCACATCTCCCACCAGTGCAGGCACAGTCTCCCAGCCCAGCATCACTTCTGCTTCATTAGGGTTTCCTGTGAGAATTGGGATCCACAATTCACACAGGGTGGGAGGAGGAGGAGATCCTGGTAAGGGAAAACTGGGTTTGGTGGTTCTGGGAAGAGGCAGATTCAGTGGTGGATGGATCCCTGTGTGTTCTCCCACTGTGCTTATTTATTTGTATTTGTGTAACACCAAATAAAGATTTAAAAGGATCTCTGTAAGAAGTGTATGTTGGAAAACATGACAGGATTGCCTTGATTAATTACTATATGCAAATAAATGAAGGATGGGAGCAGTGGGATTAGCACGAGGAGAAGGGGACTGTCACAGACCTTCCTGGTTCCCCCTTTGCCTCTGGCACACACCCAGAATTCCCAAGGACCTGGTGTTAATGTGGTTCCCATCTGCCAGTACTTCCCTTCTTGGGGATAAATCAGTTCCCTCTGGCTGCTGCTGTGCTGGTGTAAAAACAGACCCATCCAGGAGGATTCTGTGTGACCCCTCGGGATTTTGTTCCTACAGTGGGACTGCAAAGGTGGCATGAATCCAATGCAAGCAACGGGAAATTAAAAATATTAAAAGGCCCAGTGTGGGGAAAACGAGTGAGGAGCCTGGGATGGTGACAGCAGATCATTCTCTAGCTCTGTGATTCATTTAATTCCTGCAGCAGCACTTGTGGCATGGGAGTGAGCAGAATCCTTGGAAACTGCTCAGGGTTTGAATGTTTCCAGCTCTCCTGTGTCCTCTGTGGGTTGAGCTGCTGCCCTGGTCCTGCAGGGAGGAAAAGTGAGGAATTTCCTTTTCTTTTGAGAGGAAAAGGACTGGACAGACTCTGCTCAGGCTGTGGAGTCTGACGGTGCCGATGGTGTGCACTGCAAAGGCTGCTCCAGGACTTTGGTTTGCTTCCCATTTCCAGCCCATCCTGAGATGGATGGATGGATGGATGGATGGATGGATGGATGGATGGATGGATGGATGNCCCCGTTCAAGGCTCGGTTTCACCGGATACCGGGGATGTCCAGCCCGGGGAGTTGTGGTATGACAGCTCCGGCCGGGAACACCGGGAACCGGTACCGGTACGTGGGGTTTGTGCAGTGTCAGCTCAGGGGAACCACGGTGCCCCTGCGGCCGCCTCCAGCCCCGCTCGCTGTGCCGCAGGGTCAAACCCTTTGGTGAAAAGGGATGGAGCCAGACTCAGCTGGGATTGGAACATGGAGCAGCAGCTCCGAGAGCTGAGCCATTCATTTGAGGCAGGGCAGGACAAATCCATGAGTTCTCCCTTTCCATGAGAGCTGCTGGCACTGCATGGATTCCAAAGCACAGGTGGGAGAGCCCTGAGCCCATTTTGGGGTGCCTGAGCAGGGTCAGGTCTCCCCCGGGTCCCCAAAAGGTCAGAGCACTGCGATGCTCCAGTTTGTTGGAGGAATTTGGTTTTTTCAAGGAATTTGAGCCTGTGAAGGTTTGGGAGGAGGTTCCAAAGAGGGGATGCAGAGGAGGGGGCTACTCTGCTGAGCCCTCCAATCCCGCTAGCACTGCCTTTCCCTCCTCCCTCAACGGCTTCTATCACGACAGCACTCAGCCCCGGGTGATTTATTCCAGTCTTGGCACCGAGTCCAAAGTGCTGGAACCCATCCCCGAAATTCTGGTAAGCGCTGTGCATCCCCTTCCCGAGG